TTTTTAGGTATACAGTGCAGTTGCATTCATCATTGGGACCCAATGTTTATAGTGGCACAGTTTGTAATAGCTAAAACTTGGAAAAAGCCCAAATGGATAAAGAAGATGTGGTTTTTCTATAAAATGGAATACTACTCAGCCATACAGAATGAGAAATTAGAGTCATTCATAGGAACATATTTGCATATCAAATCATTTCTTAAAGTAACAATGTTTTCTTATGGAATAAGATAGCATTGATTTCAACTTATCACACAGTTGCAGAAAGTTTCAAGCTGAAAAGTTAATAAATTTGCTAAGATTCACCTAGATAGGGACAAGGTTCACTTTTATTTCCAAAGACTTTTAGTTTTACACATATTCTTTTCTCCAAGATTTCTAGTGCCTCTGATGCTAGAGCATTCAGACCAATAATCTCAGCTGATCTTTTTACACAATATTTACTGACAGCAAACCCTCACTTAGGGAATTTATTGGTATTTTGCCTGCATGGTAAGTTTGGACATGTTACCACGTGGCCTTCTGGTGTTTTGGGTGGTTAAATGTGGCATATTACTAAATGGACGTATGTCTGTTTATGCACAGTAACTTCGTTGTGCAACCTTACATTAATTTAGCTAAAGTTATTACCTGATGGCTGCTTGATTATATCTGTCTGATTTCTAAACTGTAGCTTGTCAATACAGATACAACTTCAAAAAGTAGTCTTCTCAATGGCAAAGGAATATCAAAACACCAGATTCATACATGAAAGCCACAATCTTACCTCTTAACGTAAGCATTCCCTCATCTTACCATAAGAAATGTACCTCTCGTTACTGGATAGCAGCTATGTTCTCTTTTTCATTGTTTGCCTTTGGGTATATATCTCTGAAGATTCTAGAGATTCAAATGTGGATTCAAATGCACCAGGGACCATTACCATGCTCTTCAGTCAGCATGGAATGGTGCCCTTCCCACACACGGAACTCATTTTCCAGGTTCTGTCAATTCTCAAGTGACCTTTTTAAAGTTTTTATGTGAGAATTGGTGCAGTTTTCTTTCATAAATTATGGAACATATAATAAATT